CGGCCGCCGCAGGCCTCCGCCCCCACCCTCCACGACGTAGAGGACGACGTCGTGGACAAGCGATCCTCGCGCCCAGGACCGATCTTCGACCTGCCGGGACCCTTTCAATCGGCCGCCTGCGGCGATGTCGATCAGAGCGGGCCAGCAAGGCCTCGAACGCCTTCCGCAGGTCCCCACAGATTCCAATATTCCGCTGCCGCCACCCGGGCCCGGTGGAGCGGCGCTCACTCGATCTCTAACCTGGGTCCGCCCGGGCGCGTGCCCCCCAGACCGCCCTTCCGAGCCTGCGGGGGGGGGAGGGGCACGGCGCGCCGCCTCCGCTCTCCGGCGCCCCGCCCCCACCTGTACCGGGCGACGGGGTGGCCCGGCGCCCAAACTGGAACCTATCTGGAAACAAGTGAGGGAGGTGAGGACGTTGACGTTGACGTCTCGTCGACCTTGAGCGCGTGTCGCTCGTGTTGGCTACCTCATTGCCATGTTCTGCATAGAACGGTGATGATGATACTGATGATGATAATGACGACGCTTGCGTGTGGGATTGATCGAACGTGCGCCGCGGCGGCCGCGGAAGACATTTTGTCAAACCGCCGGAGCGAAACGCCGGCAGTGCACGCGCGTGCACAGCAATGCGTCCCATTTGCCATGCACTTTGGCAAAGAGCTTTAGCAAAGAACGTTGCTCCTGCGCAAGGAATATCAATTCAAAGAGACCACGGTCTCTGCTAAGTGCTTCATCACGTGTAGTATTTGATCAAGCACTTTGCAGACACCGTGTTCTGTTTAGTAAAGAACTGATCCCAAGCCCAAGCCACCGAGACAACTACAGTTTCGTGAGAAGAGCCGCAGCGCTCGTACACTGTCTTCCTGCAGAGCACAGGCTGCAGTTGTCACAACCTCCGTCGTTGCAAGTTGGCTGGTGCGGTGTCAAGCCTACCGTGATCCCTGATCCGTCGTTCGGCGAGCACCAGTTGAAAACCGCCTGTTTAAAGAGGCAAATTTGTGATGCCAGCTGCTACATTTTTTTTGGGCACAAATTGACGCCATCACAGCCACTGTTAGGGCACCACTTTGGGCCATAATGGCATCTCAGACGGCATGGCAAACATCATATTTTCTACCAATGGGGACCACGACAAATTTCAGGAAATCGCAGCAACCTTACCAATCGCGGTGCTGCGGCTGTCGCGGCTCAGTGTGTGAAGAAGCGCCTAGCAGTACTTGACAGTGTGGAGCCCTCATGGTTTCGAAGAAAACGACACATCCAGTTGTCTTGCTATCGTCAGAGGTATGCGTTACGGCCATGTTGCGAACTCCAGCTTGTCCGCCATTTCCAGAATTCACGGCAGTAGCAGCCGCATCGTTTCGAGAATTTCGCCACCACACACGTGTCCGATACCTTTCATTTCTACACACGAAGGTCGCGAAGGGTCATTTCGGCTCAAATCGAAAATATTTGGGTTGCTGGGACTTAGTTTTGACGGCCATTATAGCTTTCATGACGTTCACGTCTGGAAATGATATGTATCTGACAAGCCTATATGCCATCAGGGACGCGCGCTCCATGCGGCTAAGCAAAAATGATGTTGACTGATGCAGATTTTCTTATGCACTTGCTAGCGTACTCGTGAGCCAGATTTACAGTACCGTACATACGCTGGCGCACACCGCCAGACAATCTGGCAGATGTCGCCCTCATACAGGCTGTCAGGCGATGTGCAACCGCATCTAGATTTACAAGAAAACGAAATCAAATTGAAATCAATTTGAGATTTGATGGAATCAACTGCTTTGTTGTGTATGCCGGCAGCCACACAAGCTAAGTGACATCTGCGGCCACACACATTAAGTTCCAACAACGCTATCGGAAGCTGGATACCCCAGCCGTGCAATATATTGCATATATACATTTATGGTATATACCGCCATAAAGTTTGCAATATGCCCACCCTTGGCAGTGTTGTCATGTGTGCCCACAGGCAATGCGATGAGCACTGCACCTGCGACATGTGTCAGGCGATAACCACCGGCGGGCCACAAATTGCCAGCACGCTTGCAGGATAGGGACAGGCCGTTCCGCAAGGAGGACACGACAATACAAGCGGCCCTCGCGCGCCTGTTCCCAAAGCCTCACGATGTTCACGTGGGTCAGTGCCATCGTCAGGCTCTAGGGAGCAGGCCGGCAAAATGGAAAAACGCCGCTGACTTGGGATGACTGTTCGGCGCATTGGACTGCCGCCGAGGAGCCAATCTGTCGCCACATGGGGTTCATCTTCTGCCAGGTGGGGCCCTCCCTTTGCGTCGATACGGGCTTGGGCCCGCGGAACCGTTGGAGACGGCCTCGGCCGGGTTTATGGGGACGTCGTACGGCAATTTGACGGTCCCCGATTTGCGTGCGCCCTCGGGCCCAAGTCCCGATGTCCCACGGCGCCTCCGGCTGTCAGCCCCTCTGTCGAGGTCCATCCGCAGGGAGGGCACAGTCGCACCCGTTGCTCTTAGCCGCGCAGCAAGAGCACAAGAATTGAACGGCACGCACGCACTGCACGGTGCCGTGCGAGCAATGTACACGGCAATCTACACGGCAAAGTATACGGCAATGTACAAGGGGAGGTGATATTTGATTGCATGGGCCTGTGCACAGCCCGCTCCGCTCAGCGTGAGCGCTCACGTGCCATAAGCCCACCCCCATCCGGGCCGGTGTACAGGGCCACAAGGGCGTCCCACGCCCGCACTATTGCCCCTATCCGCCGGATCATCTCGCCAAGGCGCCCGCGCCTTGGGCCCAGCGACAGCGCCCCTTGGACGCCCTTGCCCGCGCCGTCCTCGGATCAGCTGTCGTCACCTTTTTTCCCACGACCTCGCTCACCCACCTCAGACGGCGCCCAGTACTCCCAGCCCCAAACCCCAGCGACCCATTGCCTTCCTAGATAGTCGCGGCGCGACGCCATTCTGGCACAAAAGCGGAGACGGCGGCTTGGGCTGCTCGGAGCCCACGCTGCTGGCCGTCTGGCCCCCCCCGCCCACCCACCCACCCGCCCTCCAGGAGGCTCGCTCGAGGTGAGACTTGCCTTGATCGCGATCAAACGCTCTCGGCACTCCGCCCATGTCGTGCCTTGGGCCCCACCGTCGTCGCGGCAAGCCCCGGGGCCGGCAACCTTGTCAAGGCGGCCGTCGCGCCCTCGCGGCCGCCCGTGCCGCCTTGGCCGTCTTCTCGCGTCGGATCCCCCGAAGCCGGTGTCGAAATCCGACTCACCGGCGCGGCAACTTCCGGGAGCCGTCCGTGGGCGCCGCAGGACCCGCCACGCGCCGCTTGGGGCCATCAACGCCTGGGGCGCCTTTGCCGACCGAGCGGCCCTCTCTGCCGAGGATTGCGATCCGCGCGGTTTATGGTGCCGATGCTCAGCCGGCAGGGTCCCCGTCCGGGCATCCCCGATCGTCTCAGGGCTGGTCCGGAGGCCGATGCGGGCGGTGGGGCGAGCGTGGAGGCCGCGCGAGCGACTTGACAGCCGACATCGACCGCCGTGGCCGCCGCGGCCGCTCGCGTGATCTGATGGCGTCGTCCGTGCTCCGTGGTTTCCGACGCCCACGCTTCCCCGTGCCGACTCGCCGTGTTTTCGCGGGAGTCGCCTCGAGCGGCGTTGTGCCGATCGCCCCGCAGCCCTAACATTGCGTGTAGGCTTTGGGCAGACTTCGTGCGCTCGCGAGGGGCCGGGGCGGCATGGGGCGCCGGACAGCGGGGACGCGCCCCGGAAGCTGCGCGATAACACGACGGGGCCAATCAACGTCCCGGCGCTTGCGACCCGGACACCTGACCCTAAACCCGGGATGGCCCCGCCGACGTTGATTGAGGCCGGGAGTGCCGCAGATTTGGGCCGCTCTGGCGAATGCCGGCGTGTCCAAGCGGAGCGAAAGGGTTTTGTGGCATGGGCGAGAAGTCGCGGGGTGGCAGCCGAAAGCGGTAGTCCTCCAGGATTATCTGCTGTTCCGAAGCCGGGTGCATCGGCAGCGGCGCTTGGACCTTTCGGGTCCTTGATTCCGGAAGCTCTGTCCGAAGGGCCTGCGGCGCATTCAAGGCGGGAGGAGTGTGCGGCAGATGCGCGTAACTGTCACACCAACTGTCACGCAATCAGTGCGAGGGGGACATGCGGAGACGCCCGTGGCTGTGGCACGGGAAGGCCGCTAGAGGCCCGATGCCCCCACCTGCGTGATGGCATTCGCTATGGGCCCTGCACCTTGTGCAGCCATTGTAAATCTCGCTTGCGGTTGCAGCCACTGCTGATGAATGCCTCTGCGTAGTGCAGTGCGTGAGGGACAGGGCGCTGGCTGTGGCATTCCCAAGCGCTGCTCAAGATCTGCTTCAGCTGACCCATACCCATGCATTGCCAGTAGCCAGGACCTGGCATTTTTCGGCCTTGACCTGTTCATTGCTTGCATCGTTGAACATGTGCTGATTCTGTGCAGCCTGATGAAGCCACAAGCCCTGCCAATGTATGGTGGGCAGACTGGTACCGCTGGATAAAAATGTGCACTGTTAGGGTTTTATTTCTTCTTTGTCGCTGTGGCCAAAAATTGAAGCTGGGGGCAGCCTTGCAGCGTCAGGTGTTGCCACCAACTGTGCAGTCGCAAACCACAAGTTGGCCAGATTATTGAAGCTGCTCAATGCCCACCAGATGCAAACACTGCAGCCACATGGTACCTTTTATATGCGCAGTGCGAGGTCAACCCTTTGGCCAGCGGGCAACAGATCCCAGACTGTTCTCATGAACACACCTCTGTTCCTTTGCCTCCCCTTCAGCTGTGCTGCAGCCCACAAAGGTTTGGAAATGGACTCACATGAGTTTGGCACGTTGCTATGAACACACCGCAGTTACCTTTGACAGGTATGGGCCGTTTGCCTGCACCTGCGGAGATCTTGTACCCACTTCTTTGCTGACTTCGTTTGCAAAGGCTCAAGTTGAGATTGTGTGTGGCATGCCATTGGCTGTAGGACGTGGCCACTTTGCCATGCAGCCGTTCAACAGCATCCTGTTACTGGTGAGGCCATGTCTTCATATCTCCACACTGTGCATTTACACCAACCCCTTGGAGTGTTCTGAAGTCCTGGACTGAGATTTCTGGTCCCAATCAGAATCATCATCCTGTGGCATAGCCTTTGAGGAGGCAGGGCAACGACCTTGGTTACTTGGCACTGGAATTTCGCTGCAAAAGCTTTGGTTCTAAGTATTAGTTCAATCTGCTTGGTCCCACAGTGAGTGGCCTGTCCTCTCCGTTCTTGCCAGCCTAGCCTATTGCCTATTGCTTGATGCACTTTAAGGCTTGAATGTTGCAGAATCCAGTAGTCCCACACAGGACCAACAGATGCATTGTGGCTGTTCCCAACACTGCTGGAATACAGCGCACGATTGCACTGACTGTTGCAAGAAAACTGTCCTTTGGAAATGTAAATCTCCTTTCACCATATTGAAGGTCCAGAGCATTGTTTATTATTGTTTGAGCACTGCAATCAAACTTGACATGTTATTGTCATATTGACAAGAGACGCCTGCAAGGCACGGAAAAGAACTGTGACCTGCTGTTGTCCAGGAAATGTCCATTGTATGAATCGGATGCCTCATTGTGTCAGAGACTGACATGTTTGTCGTTTTGTTGTGCATGGCCAGCTGTTAGGACTGGCAGCGGTGCATGGGAGGCCAGACACTTGGGCCATGGAGAGCTCACAGAGAAAAAATGTCAGTGTGACAGTGTCATCCGATGGACAGGGAGACTCTCTTGGTGAGTGGGTGTTCGAAACTGTTTGAGAACTCGGCTCTCTAGAGTGTGCAGGCCCAAGACTCAACCTGTAGCAAGACATTGTTTGTACCGGCCCTGAATCGTTTGGTGCAGCAATCTGTCCAAGACATGGAAAACGTTCCAGTTCTCTTGCCATAAGTGAAGAAAACTGTAGCAATGGAGGTCCTATCCCTACACAAGGAAACACAGTGCAAGTCTGCTAGCCCTTCGCATGCGTGCACGTTTTAAACTCCTGGGGCTCTGTGCAGAGCACTGGCCGTGCTCCAAGTCGATCTGCGGGTGCAATGTCCCTGCCAGCAGTAACAGCTTCAGAGTTGGAAGGCAGCAGCCTTTGCGATTGCTCAGGGTATTCTTGGTTTTAATGCGAAAGGAGTTGCCTCGTCATCACACTTCGTCGTCTGTAACAACTGGTTGGAAATGGGACTCGAATTAGTTTCCTCTGACTGACCCCTTTTCTTGCCCGTGCAGTCACGACCAATGACGACACCTCGTTTGAAAATGAGATTCGAGTTGGTTGCCTCTGATCCTTTGTGATGCCCCCTGCAGTCGCGACAAATGACGACACCTTCTGCGTGTTGAACCAGCTGGATGATGTCACCATCCTGATGTCCGTGACGTCGCTGGTGAACGGCAACGAGGTGAGCGACAAGATCACCGCCAAGTCCGGGAGCCCCGCCTGCCTCCCGGCGCCCACCGACGGCACCAACATCACGTTCAACATCTTCATCGACAACAAACCGCCGATCTTCCTCTTCAATGTCAAATTCGCTGACATCGCGAGTATGGATAACTCGTGCAAGAACTACAAAGTGACCAAGAGCGGCGGGTACCCGGACTGCACGTCTGAGTCCTAGCGAACGAAGGCAGACCTCCCCACAGTGCGCAGACGGCCGCAGCTTGCCGCAAGGAGGGCCGGCGGGCGAGGCGAGCTGGAGCCGAGCCCGCTCCGGCGCGTGGGGATAAATTTTGACGTCCCGTCGTTTAGGACCTAAGAGGCTAGAACCTAGGACCTAGGGTTTGGGAAGGTCCGCTTTAGGATTGCTTTAGAAGGCCGGGGCCGTAGATTGTGGGACCGTTTCGCGTGAATGTGGGACCGCGCTTTCGCGGCACTGTGGTGTGAGGACCGTCGTGGATGGCAGCGGGTTTGGCGGCCACCTGCCCCCGCCGGGGGACCTCGGGCCCGGGCGAGAGACACAGCCTAGCTGGCTCGCTAATGTACAATAACTCCATTTAATGGCGAGGGAAATTGTTTGGCGACCAGATTCCGCGGCGCGCGGTGCCATGTCGTAACTTGCAGGATTGTAGGCTTTTTAGGAGTTGGGAAAGAGTGTGACGCGCGGGGTTTTGCGGCTATTCGAGGCGCGGGGATGCACCTGGCGCGCAGCAGGGGGACGGCGCCTCTGATGGCGACCGGCAGTTTTGTATTGGCTCGTATTCGCGCGGTGCATCCACCGCCCTGCGGGAGCCTCTGCCGGTGGAGGCCGGCGGCGTTGGCTGCTCAACGCCGCGGCTCGAAGCGGCAGGCACCCGTGTTTGAAGGGCTTGGACGCGCACGGTGGTGCTTGGAACGGCGCACGGCGTGGTTCGCAGTGCTCTGAGGGACTGTGGGTTTTCATTTCCACCTTTGAACAATACGGGACCGGAGGGGTGCGCTTTGGTGCCCGTCGCCCGCTTTTAATGTTTGCACGGAGCGCCGTGAGAATCGGGGTGGTGTGTTCTCTTCACGAGGTGCCCTGTGTGCAGCCTGGTGATCTCATCAACCCTCCTTCGCTTTTTTCCGCAAGAACAAAATGCTGCTTTAATGGGTTTGATGAGCATGGTTGATATTCGCCAGTTGTCTTGCTGGCAGCGTCCCAGGCATCTCAGTGTGTGTTCGATTTACCCCGCCGAGGCATGCGACACAAAACCCAACACAAACATGACAGCGTGCCGTTGGCTTGCATTAGCGGTCCTTCCTTCCAAACAATCAGCCAAGGGATTCTGTCGCGTTCATTCGGTAAAGAACGTGGAAGACAATTACGCCGTGCGCACGCTCCAATTAAAACAAAAATGGAAAGAGAAACTGTCAAAAAAGTTGTCAAGCTTGCTGAGGGAAACGCGCACATGCACGTGACGAGCGCCATTGAAACTGCTGGAATTGAGGGAACCGTCCCAAGAAGTGGGACAGGATCAATACACAAACAAGATGGTGCAAAACGGTCTGTCGACTCGTTCACGTTCCATGGATTGGCAGCGTGGCCAGTCCTGTTGCATGGTGGCCGTCCTTAAATGTTTCGCTCACGCCACTCCCACTGCGCTCAAGCCGTTGCCACTTTCCTGCTGCGTAAATTCCCTCGGCGTCCCAAGTTCTGTCCCCAAAAGCATGACGCTCAAGGTTTGTCGCATCCCTTGCAAGGGATGCCAATTGGCTGAGGATCTGTGGTACTTGTTGGAAACACTCTCTGCACCCCACTGTTCCCTACGGTCCGGTTTCTACACCAAATTCAAAAAGCAACCTGCCCGTGTCTGTCCGTGTCTTCTTATGAAGAATGTTGCCCACACTGCCTGAAAAATTGGGACGAGCAGCATTGCCCGTAGGCCTGCAGGCAATGCTGCTCGTCCCAATTTCATAGGAAAACCGCGCAGCCAATGCGATTTCCATATTTGCCGCATCTCGACACAACACTACGCTGGAAAGGTAACGTGGTGCCTGGCGCACGTCCGCTGTGCTTGGAAGCAATTGAGCGCCAGGCCGACTGACAAGCGTTGTTGTTGGTACAATGCCGCACCCGCAGCACACTGCCATTGGTGCTCAAGCCTTCGGCCACAACTGGTGCGCTGTTAATCGAAGTACATCGATCAAATTTAGCACATGGAGCACAATATATTGTACTATATAGTAGAAAGCGCGACTGAGAGAAAACCAGTGGAAACAATTGCGCTGGAGAGGCGATTCTCACCAGTACAGCAGCAGTAGAGTGGGGCAGTTGTGCGTTTGCACGAGATTGTGCGATACTAAGCCAGGAGCACATTCGCTGGCGTGCTTGTCCGCTGCGTTGCGTTCTGAAAGGGGCTGTTCAGACCGGTGCAGACACATGATGGAGGTCTTCTAAGAACACGCATTTTGGCCATGCTAATTTGCACCGAGTCCTACCTGCTGCGAGACTCGCTCTCGAATATTCGAGAAGGACCCCTTTGATGCGGCTGATGATGTCCCTTTGCCAACACCCATTATCCCACGAGGACGTGACGAATCCATCTCGGGCATTTGATGCGGCCACATCAAGAAGATGAAGATCATCGAGGAAGAGTCTATTTTGTCAATAGTACGTTTTGGAGCTCAATGAACATTGAGGGGTGATATTTCGTGGAAGTCGATGCTAAGAGATTACGTGATTACACTGATATCAAAATGAATCAACGGAAGAGATTTGAATTGCTGCATGCAGCACACCGTGTGCACGCTGTGTACAAAAGCCGTGTGCGTGCTGTTTGGTGACTGAGGCAATATGACAGACGCTGCGGTCTGGGGAGGCTGATGTTGCTGGGTGATGGCCAGGGAGAGACGGCGAGCAGGGCGTGCAATCCATCGGGCTTCATGTGTCGCTGTCATCACCGGTGATGCGGCACCGCTAATAGACTGGCGGGGCCATTGTTAGGTACATTGGAACTTGCATCGCTCTGCCATATGCTTGAAGCAGGATAATAATAAAGGGCACAAATAACAATAAAGGCATACAATAGTAACAGGACAATAACAGGCACAACAATAGAGGCAAGACAATAATATTGTGTTATGGTGCCATCAACCGGGCCGCTGGCTTTCGAAATCGGATCCCATATGATCGTCAAGCTCCGAGAAAACGTGAAGGAAATTGAGCAGCTCATCGAGCTACACCGATAAAATGTAAGAGGAGACATGGCCATGCACCCCTTACCACCCCTTACTGAGGTGATCCAAAAATGAGCAGGCTTACGCAAGCATATGGTGGAGCGGGCAGTTATCCTGGGTTAGTTCTTGCCAATGCAATTTCGACAGTGAGGAGACACATTATCATATCAGCGCAATCCCCGCCCCGCGCACAGCGCTGCTACCTGCTGCTTGTTGTCTTTTTTGTGCCATTTTATGACAGACTTCCTTGCGGTGAAGTGCGATTGAAATGAATTGCGAAACTGAAGAAGATTCCTGACAACAGCCCTGCCTGCTTAGCTGCGCATCTGCAATGTGCCCACCACAGCATCCACTTCCTCCGCGTCAAGAGCTTCCTTCTTGCGTGGTTGGTTTGGTTGCCTGAGTGTGTTTTGCCACCACGGTGGTCTTTTCAGAATCGCTTGTGCAGGCAGGTCGTTGCCCTTTGGGACCGCGCAGCCGTGGCCGCCTGTGTTTTGTCCGCGACCATGGCCTTTTGTGGATCGCCACGGCTGTAGCCCTTCGCCATTGCGTGGGAACAGTAGCCATGGCCCCCAGAATTTAGGCAGAGTTTAACTAGCTCTGGACTTGAATTCCTTGTAGGTGACGTCCCCTCCATGTTGGCTGTGGCCTGTACCTTGAGTGACCGTTCGGGAAAGTGGCTCTTTAGAGCTCGTATCCGTGGTGGCTGCTCTGCTTATCATATGTATTCTTTCCCAATGGTAGTCGGGCTGCTTGGGGGGTTAAGATACGCTGCACCTGCCGCACCCAGCGTATTTGTCTGTTCTGCAGTCGCTGCTTCCGTAGCTTCAATCACCCAGGTATTGCGGCCTCCGCAACCGTGAGCCTCTTTATAGGATGAGAAGTTGCCACGCTTGCAGTTCCATTCCCGCCATAGTTCATAGCCGACGTCGGGCCTAGGCGTCATGGATTAATCTCAACCCTGTTTGTGAAAGTGCACCAAGTCTTCGCAGATGCCACAAACCCCCACGTCAAACTTACACATCATTCACATCGTATCATGATTCCCTTCGCAGTGTCTGGCCACATTTTATGGGCTGCAGGCTCCGTGATTGTCATCGCAACAATAGCCACAATGGACTTCGTGGCCGATTGGGCAGGTACTGTGCCCGCGGCAGCTATCACGTAGGGTGCAGGCATCTTCGCCGTTGCTATGATTGTATCCCTTCGCCATTGCATGGGAACAGTAGCCATGGCACCCAGAATTTAGGCAGGGTCTAACTAGCTCTGGACTTGTATTCCTTGTAGGTGATGTCCCTTCCATGTTGGCTGTGGCCTGTACCTTGAGTGACCGTTCGGGAAAGTGGTTCTTTAGAGTTCGCATCCGTGGTGGCTGCTCTGCTTATCAATGCATTCTTTCCCAATGGTAGCCGGTCCGCTTGCGGGGGTCAGATACGCTGTAGCTGCCGCTACCACCGTATTTATCTGTTCTGCAGTCGCTGCTTCCGTAGCTTCAATCACCCTGGTATTGCGGCCTCCGCAGCAGTGAGCTTCTTTATAGGATGAGAAACTGCCACGTCTGCAGCTCCATTCCCGCCATAGTTCATAGCCGACGTCGGGCCTAGGCGTCATTGATTCATGTCAATCCTGCTTGTCAAGGTGCACCAAGTCTTCGCAGCTGCCACAAGCCCCCACGTCAAACTTACACATCATGCACGTCGTAGCATGATGCCCTTCGCAGTGTCTGGCCACATTTTATGGGCTGCAGGCTCCATGATTGTCATCGCAACAATAGCCACAACGGACTTCGTGGCCGATTGGGCAGGTACTGTGCCCGCGGCAGCTATCACGTAGGGCGCAGGCATCTTCGCCGTTACTATGATTGTCGCGATGCAGCAGTAGAAAACAGCCTGTTTGCGATGCCAATTGTGGCGCCTTTTGACACAAATTAATGGAATCGCAGCCACTTTTATGCCATCGCAATCACTGTGACGGCATCGTTTTGTGTCGAAATGGCATCACACTTGGCATCGCAAACTTGCCGTTTCCTGCCAGTGAGGTTTGTGCAAATTCCGGCGCTGTCGCTATGGCGGCTGCCGTGGCGAGGAGATTATGAACATTACGACGATCTGTCCCCTTGCGGTGCGACAGAAGCGTGATTCGTGTCCACTCGACCTGCAACAGGAGGGGAGGGATGAGCGAAAGTGTTTGCAATCCAATCTTGTCGTAATGATACCCCCTTAGTGTGTCTCGGCATATCATGTTCTAACATATGGTATCAAAGCCGTGGTATATAAGTGGCGGATGAGCTGTCGGATAATAGTCAGCTGTGGCTTTCTTCATCAAAACATGTTTAGCCGACTTTGGTGTTTGTAGATCGACATATCCTGAAAATACCTGTTAATGGCAATGTAAAGTAGTTTATTTCACTAAAAGATTCTGTGTTTCTTGCGAAATGAACAATGAAATTTCGCTGTTTATTCTATGCATTATCCTGCAAAGATTACTGTGAATCGTGAACATGTGAGTCGAATGTGCTAAATTTACACATCGCAAATTGTGTGACAGATCCATCGAATCAGATTCGTCATCGTTGACGCCATTTTAAATTACGCCATGGTGTGAATAGTCCTAGAGCACAAATCTATCATAGACACAAAAGAATATGACGCCAAGACGCGCAGTAATGTATTTTGCATTAAATACCAATTTTAGGCATTTGATGCATTTCCCCATTAATGTAATATTGCTTAAAATTTAGGAGTCAAATGTTTGCAAAACAGTCACATTCTGTGGCCAGAGCTGCGTTAGCATGGTGCAAAGGTCGCGGGACCGGCGCCACCGATGGTTGCGCAGGTGAGATCTGCACCATATTCATCAAACAAGATTACACAACTGCCGCGAGATTAGAGACGACCTTGCTCACCAGCCAATGACCACAGCACGAGAGGAATGTTCGTTCATGTCAACGATATTCAGAAAAAGGATCAACGAATATGATTATAAAAATAGCTGAAATGTGAAATCGTCTTTGCTCTTGAGGCGAGGTGTTCAAACGAAGAGAGCATTCTGGTGAAGCAAATGCGGCTCAACTCTATCAATTAGGACGGCGCAACGAACAACAGCACGACGATAAATTGCACAAATCACAGCAGTGTAGTCGGCAGAAATTGCGGATGAGATCGGAGGAATCGAATCTGAAACTCTTGCCACTATGAGCTGGCGACAGTGCATGGGGTTTCGCAGAAACGTCGCAGTTCCATTGAAAATTGAATGATTTTGCAAGAGGAGACGCAAACTTAGTCGGCGGGAAGGGGCGTGGGCGCCAAAAAGGGAGGGAGATTGTGCCGCGGCGCCCTGCGTTTGCGCGCTTGCAGACGCACCTCGCCTCGCGGGTCAGTTGCCGTTGGCTTCCACGATATAATGCCGCGGCGGCGCGCGGATGCCCCTGCGCAGGGGAGGCAGCATTCAATGTCACTAGTGTCCAGGGGTGCTTTTCGGACGCGTCTCGGACACTCCAATGAGTGTCGCGGACACTGAAAATGAGTGTCCTCAGCGAATGACCGCGACGCTTTTCACGCCATCCGCGATAGTGTCGCGGACGCTTCACATTGCGCGTCGTGGGAGTTCGCAGACAGTGACGGGGACATTGTGCTTGCAGTCGCGGTCAGTGTCGCAGACAATATCTCGGACAGCGTTTGGTGTCGCGGACAGTCACAGGGACACTGCCCTTGGGCGTCGGGGTCAGTGTCGCGGACAGTGTTTAGCGCCGCGGATAGTGACGTGGACAATGCCCTTAGCGTCACGGTCAGTGTCGTGGACATGGTTTGGTGTCGCGGATAGTGGCCGGGACACTTCCCTTGGTGCCACGGACAGTGACGCCGATAGTGCCATGGAGACTACGCTGGCGTCGCTGGCGAATTCCCTCGGGGCAGCGTTCAAGGGCGTTCTGTTGCCGGACTTGTGGTGATCGCAGTCGTTTTACAATTTCTGGGTACAACCTCTGGCTGCAACTTTTGCTTGCAACTTGTGTCCACACCTATCCTCCACCCACTCGAGCACCCTAGCATCATGGCACCACCACACCCCGCGCTAGCCATTTGCATCGCCAAAGGAGCACGCCGTGCCTCTTTTCCCGTTCTCCATCCTGCTTGTGGATGACCTTGCTGCGGTTTCTGAGCCCCCGCGAACGAAAGCACACCCACACACAACATACAACACGTTGTAACTGCATACAACACATACCACAACGTGTTGCGACTGCAGAGAATCCGAGGCACGACACTGGTGTCAATAGGCGAAGGGGAAACTACGTGGCGGCAGCTGCGGGGAAAGGGGAGTGGGCCATGCTGGCACGTGCGCAACCTGGCGAGATTCAAAGGGGATCCAATCGAAAAGAGCGCGCCATCCAGCGCGCACAGACAAAATTCGCACAATGCCGTCGAGAGCTGCATATCCTTCAACATGCAAGGAAGAAAGGCGCCTCGGATTGTCAGGAACAAAGGAAGCAGTGGCCGCGCGAGTGTGCTTGCCAGTGTTCTGCGGCGAAGGGGCTCGCCTTCCGCGCAATCCCATTTAAATGGGACGCAAATTACGTCCCAGTCACGGTCCCAGGCTTCCCATCATCTAAGAGCCTGTCGCGCTTCTGGCTTTTGAAGACGCAGTTCCAGACTTTAAAGTCAAGTGAGGTTTTCGGAGTGGAGAGGTGGTCAAAGCACAGAGGCGAGGGGCATTTATAACCCTAAACGCCGGTACAGCAGATGAGTAACAGCCTAGGTCAGCGGAGCGTGGCAGCTCGGGTCAGCTTTGCGGATGGCCTGATGCCTCTCGAAATACGCCAGGCGGTCAAAGGGGTGGGCGGGGCACGCGCCTGGCACACGCCTCTGCTGTGATCAAGGGCAGCACAGAAGGACGGTCGACTTAGGATGTGTTTATACACGATGGAGCATCAGGCAGAGCACCTCTACATTGTATTCGGAGTATAGTATAAAACTTATAGGTATATGTTATTCAACAATATTAAACATCATGAATATGTATTATTTATAAAATCCATAGTAAAAGTTTCATATCGTACCGTTTCGTTGCATGGCACAAGTGCATTGGCGCCGAGAGGTTTTACGTATTGCCATTCACACCAGCAGCGTTTGAATGAAACTGAGCTGCGTGAATTGCCTTAAAGGGGTCCGTCAGCGCCATTTTGTATATGCACTTGGGGATTTTGTCCTCATGCGGATGATCCCAAATTGATGGACGGGTGCAGCGGTCTGTGTCTGATGGGGCCAACAATACAATTGTCCGTGAACGCCCTGGTACAGTTTGTGGTGCCCGTCTGCGCCCGTTTTCGTCTCTTCAGTTTTCCTGGCGTTTCAGGACGACCTGGATTTTGCAGCTTTTCTATCTTGGGGTTGCGCATAAGATTTGAACATGTTGTGTTATGTTGTTCCAAATTGAGTGATAATTTTTTTGGTGCGGGAAGGGCGAGTTCAGGGTTTGCGTCGAATTTATTGACCGACTGAATGACAAGTTGAAGGAAGCGATAATGTTGGCGCCGTCTTCTGCGATGCTGAGACGCTTGGCCTGTGGGCCTTCGCCGTCATGTGAGCTTGATTTGGCGGTTGTCGAAAGATGGAAGATGTTCAACAGAATCAGTGCAAAACACGTGGGCTCCTGACCAGCTCCGCAATCTGCAAGTCGCGGCACCGCAAACGCCCTTGTAACCCACCTTTGATGCTTCAGGCTTAGCAACGTTGCCAGGCACGAAGGCATCAACGTTAACGATGTCGACGAAGGCATGCGGTGTCGAGGGGTGGCGACCCCTGAACGGGGATCGTACGCTCGAGTCCACGGCGACGGTTTGCAGCCGATGCAAAGGGGCAACAGGAGTTCTGCCCTTTACATCCAGTCCGTTCATCAGCGTCCTTAATGCAATTCGTAGTGCCTCATCATCTCTTTTTGCGCCAGCTGATAATATTACTCAATCAGTTTTGGTTACTACAATGCCACCCCAAGATGGATTCGGACGGGGCGAGATGCTGAGCATTTTTCGGAGAAAGGACGTGCTATCTCTGCCCAAGTTTCTGTCAACAGAATGCCAGCAGTCTTCCCCAGCCCCTCCTGCCCCTGACTCTCCCTGGAGGCCTGCGGGGTGACGCAAGGCGTCCGTCGACCACGAGCGACCCGCCGCCGCTGACCGATTGGATCATCCGTTGCCCGCCCTCTGAGCGTCCTTGTGATCCGGTGCGGCCTGGCGGTGGGACCGGGGTTGATGGGCCCCCCCGATGGCGAGCCCACGGCTGAGCAGGAGGCGGAAAGGAAGCGGAGCGCTCGACTGAAGACATCCGCGCGGCGAATCGGAGTGAGGCGACGGCAGATTGGCCGTGTCTCTGCTCTGCGATTCTTTCTTCGCTTGTTCGTGCGTGTTTATTGGAAATTTGTTGACCAGGGCAATCTCGCTGAAAGACGAGTGAGGGCCGTCGTCGAAAGTTTTTGAACCGAGGGGACTCCGCTGAGGGTGGATGAGGGCCTTCGACTGCAGTTCGTTCAGTGTTTTCACAGCCACAGACCCCTGTTTTTCTTTCTTGCTTACCAGTCGGAAGTGGAGAAACATGAACTGGATTGAAACAGGCTGTGCCTGAAACTCGTCTGCGATTGCTTGTGTGCAGGTGGTGTCGGACTCGGTGCGGATGTGTGCAAAGCCTTTACCACCGTCCAAAAGTGAGTGCAAGAATGATAATTGAAGCAGTTGATTGCATTTACATCATGTTTGTCAAGAAAGGCAGGAAAAAATGCTGTCCCTGCACCGTGAAGGCGATTTTGGGATTAATTTCAAGCATGCGGATTGTCCATATCGCCAAGAAGGATGCAAGATGTGCTGTGTGTGGTCTGCAAACCATGGTAGCATGTTTGTGGGTACTGAGTAAACAGTTTTGCCAGATCGCATGCAGCTCAGTTCCTGCACTTAAGCTGGAGGCTCTCACACGTCTCTGAACACGTTGGATAACACTGGGCTGATTTGGAATAGACCTACATCTAGAAAGCCATGTCAAGTAGTGCATGAAACAAAGCTGAAAAGAGCCGCTGTGCTGGCTCTCAAACAATGATTTGAACCCATGGTGTGGCAGGACGAGCGTTGCTTTCATGCCCAGTGGCTGGCTGCGGAAGCTCTGTAGCTGCAGTTATGGCGAACTGTAAAATTGGCTATAAATAGCATCTCATTGACTGCCCCAAAATTGGGATCAGAGTCAAAAATCGTGAATCCTGCTTGGTTCCAAAACAGGCCTGTGATGGTGATGAAACGCATTCGTGGCACCGATTGCTTGTCTTCATTCTGTGTGTGGTATCAGTTCTGTTAATTTTTCGTTGATATTCTGGTATACGCTTAATGGCATGCCTGGACTTGGAAGTCAGCATGAGCTTGGGTGCGCCTTTCTTTGCCAAGAAAAATTGTACGAGTACAGGCCTGCAATACATGGCTGCACCAAAAGGGGGTAAAGCAGGGCAAACCCCTCAATTCCAAGTGCAGGCTGCTCGATAAGGCTATCTGGAGTTTCTGCATGTGGCAGAATATGCCCAAAACAATGATCATTGCGTACAACGTTTCTGCTGAGGCCTTGTGTGCTGCAGCGCAGTGTTGCTGAAGTCAGGTTCCAAAGACATCGTGAAGAAGGGCTCCGCAAGGAAGAATCGGTGGGCGCCAGTACCTGTTTCTCGCTTACATGTGGCTAGGCAGGCCACCTGTTAACTTAGCTTTGTGTCTCAACATCCTGCGTCGCATCTGAATGTCACACCTGCAGAACTTGTGTCCACTTCAGTTGGTACAGAAGGTGGCTTTGTGGCCCTAGTGTGTAAATAGCGGACAGTTTGTTGGGCAATAGGGACCTATGTGGTTAGGAATTAGCTGCTGTGTGGAAGCTGTGATTGTGATGGCAAGCTTTGGTCCCGCAAGTGTGTCTTGTAGAGTCTATGGTAAAGCCCCATTTTAGCCAAAGGAAGTGTCAGCTTGGATCTTTAGGAAGATTATATAAATGTGCACATTGGCTGTGCATGTGCGAATGCGACTGTAGGGTGTGGAAGCTGTGCATCAAGGATGCAGGTCGAGATGGTATATGGCTGCCCAACATTCACCACCAGTTTCGATATAATGCACGTGAATACGGTTGAAATTTGTTGCCAATGTGTGCACACACAGTGCATTGCTCAGCTGTCAGTTTGTCAGTGTGGTGTGAAGATGGTCTGTTGATCGTGTCATCAATGTCAGTGCATCTTCGCTGCCAGCTCCTGCAGTTGCTTTAACAGTGGCATCGATTGTCAACTCAACAGAAAGGCTGGTACTATTGTCCTTGACATCCTGGTTTTGGTCTAGGTACATGGTGGTCTTCAATGGGCTGCTGGCACCTATGGCAGGTGGAAAGTTGGTGAGTAAGGAATCAGCAACACACAGTTGCCAACATGATTCATTAGAGACGGAATTATATTTGAACAAGAAGAATCCCATGCACCGTAGAAGTTGATAGTGGATTGCCTGCAGGCATGGTACGTTCTTGCTGGTTAGGAGAGGGCATTTGATGGGCTTTGTGTAACCATGCATTGGATTGTTCTGTTGGATACAATGAGAATTCAGTCTTGTGATATGTGGCTTAACTTTTGCGGCGCTCCGAATATCAGCAACGTCATTTTATTCTGGAGAGAAAGTGGTGGTGGTGTCCAGTTTTTGATTCCTCTGATGTAACTGCATTGTACATCAGGTGTGTAGCTGCACTTGAAGTGTTGCATCAAAACAAGACAGCTTATACCATCTTCGTGGTTACTTTCTGTGCTGAACAGTAACACCATTTTAACCTCACACAGGGAACTCTCTCGCAGCTGGACTCGCAGAATCCTGTGATGTACTTTGACTTTCCAGAGGGGCGTCTGAAGTGCTTTGGCACAATGGTACACACCAAGGACAGGTACATGGTCCTGAAGTTCGGCGCTCGAGACAGCGTTTTGTGTGAGGACACATTTGAGAGCATGGTGAGTGGTGAGTCGATGGAACGAACAAAGCTCAACTTCTGGCAAAGCAGGAACAGCTGATTTCCTGGAGGATGCCACCAGCATCTTCCCTCAAGTCTCAAGCACAAGTTGCAGAAGCACAGGCAATTGAATGTCTGCTGTGCCTTGGGCCACTTTCTGCTTTGCATCTCATAACATGGACCTTCTGTGAGTTGCTTGTCGGAGTCGCTTGTTAGCAAGGTCGAAGTGAAAGGATGAATGTGAAAATGTGGTAGCGAAATCTGGGTTGGATGTGCTTCTTCTCGTTGCTGTGAACTAAATGGTGGAGCAACACAGACAATAGCATGTCACTATATGCTGCACATTTGGCCCTGATATTCTTGGATTGTGGGGCGTTTATGAGGTTTCGAGTAATATAATGGCTGGAGGTGCACAGTGAGCATCTGCAATACCATGTGTACATATTTTTCTGTTTGCATCAGCTATGAGTCATTCACACAGCACGTCACTTCATGGTGTGCTGCTTTAGATTGGAACAAGAAAGGCATGTGATCAGATCGCAGCTGCCAGCACTGTGTCTTCACCAGGGTAAGCATGCTGTCTGCAACTTGAGACGTGAGGAGAAGGTGAAGGAGCTAATGGTATTTTTGTCTGTTTGTTCAGATCATTTTCTCTGAATCCCATTGGGTTGGCCGAAAGGAGGACAACCCTGAGGAGAAGGCACTGCCATTCCCAGAGGTCGTGCAGAAAAGAACCATTCATAAGGAGTTCTCATTCAAGACTGGTGCTGGGAGCTATGGTGATGAGAACGGTATGTTGTTATTGCATGAGTTCATTCAAAACCTGTTCGGGTTCCTGTTCTTGTCATGCCATGCAAGCTCCAATTAGCTGTGTCGACACCTTTTGTAGGTTGATGCCAGTCGATAATTTGGCATCCGCTTTTGTAGAAGCCGCGTGCATCAGTTGGCGTAGCGGAGCAGTAAGAATTGCTGCGAAATTTGGGAAATCCTGATGATGGCTGCTGGCACCACCCTCATCTCCAACGTGATGAAGATTATCTGCACACATGCACACACCCGAGGACACATTCTCCACCTTCTGTTTCTGCTTCTTTGATGAACTGGGGGACTGGGGCCACACTGTGTTCTTTTGGTGAATATTGCAAGGTCTTAGGTAGACTTGCACACTGGCCTTTAGAATTTCAACATCAAAACTTTGCTGACACATGCCTTTGACCATTGTGCCATTTTCACATAACAGTGTACACATCACTGTCACGAAACATTACATTCATTTATTCCAAGTCTGCAGCATCACATGTGCATTTGTGAATGACATGCACAGGGGGAACAGGGACTCAGGCCTCCATGAAGGACAGCCAGGTGGGCGCACTCCAAGAGCCTTGTTTTGATGCCTCATGGACGCCAGCTTTGAGTGGTCTTGCGTGTAAATGTGCCACTTGTCCAATAGTTTAGATATGTGTTGATGTTCAGTTTGCCGCACTGGATTGCCAAGGTTTTCACACACGGCATATGTGCATCAGCACTGGTTTTCTAATGCTTCGAAGCAGCGCTTTGACAATGTGTTTCGTGCGAGTGGAACACCATGGACAGGAACAATAATGATGCTGGTTGCCAGGATTTTGGTGGTGCATTGCAAGGCGATTACCGAGATTGTGTGTCCTGCATTGCAGCGCACATCACAATCTGCAGGCAAGCAGGGTAGGAGAAAGTATGTCGAAACAGATGAGTCGTCTTCTCCCTCATCCTCGTTTGGAGACGAAGAGGACACCAGGTGCGGAACCCCCTGTCACACTTGTTTGCTTGTGCAAGCCCGTTGCTTTTATAAGCGTTAATGCTGCCCTCTTGTGCACAGCACTACATCATCTGTTCGGTAGACGAAGGCATGCTATGCAATGGGCACCCTCTCCTCAGCACAGCCCTTTGTGGATCGTCCCATAGCTCGTGACTTTGAGTAATTGTGGTACCACAACGGGACTGGCACACCTTGTGTTGGGCTGACTCTTTTTGTTGACAATGCATTCACTGCCGTCCGGCAACTCAACGGAAGATGGCCAACCCACAGCGCTTGGTACCTGGGTCTGTTTGCAGTGATGGCGATGCAGATATGGAGAAAAGGACAACTGTCAGTGACAGGCCAACCAAGAAGAAAGGTAAGGCATTCTGTCTGTTGGCGTGCATCACGCTGCTGTTGGAATGTGCAACGTATTGCAATATCGAAATGGTTTGCGACGCATTGCCTGGCAGATTGATATGCAAAATATCTCTATGGCAGTGCATTTGGTCAGTGGACCCGGCGCAGTTTGCGTTTTGCATAAAATGCAAATCAACCGGGAATAAATCCACTTTTTTGTGTACAACATGGATGCCGAGGCTCAGTAGTTTGGGAGAACCACCAGTTGTCACCTTCTTGCGCGCGGACACCTATGTCCGCCACCAATGTCAAACGGTACCAATGGCCGCAGCAAGTCGGTCCAATCATTGCAAATTTCTTCATAATCTGTTGAACTCAAGAAACTCTGAGCGCCAGAATTGGGTGAGCCCGGATCAGTTGTGGGCATGAAGACCAACGCCAGAACGATAAGGGATTGCGCATGAACCCCACACGTGGCGCACGGTCGCCCAACCATGTTGCACTGCTACGATCGGTGACGCCAAAGGCACTTTCATGACAGCATATTGTGGTCCCACGTGGACAATGTTTGCATTGACAATACAAACACAAATTGTACATTGAATGTGTCGCTGAACAACATTTCAATACATGACACTATAGTGCACTGTATTTACATGACAGATATTTTGCTACAAAATACGTTCCGTGCTATTTACATGAAAATTGCAATCGAAAGAAATAAATGTGATAGTTGATTTTGTACGTGTACGTGTGTTATACTTAGAAGTAGATCACAAGACTTTTGGCATTTCATGCATGTATGTATGTATGTGTACACCATCGCATTCAGTGAGCAGGTGCCGACCCTGTCCTGAGAATAGATCCACGGGACTCTCGTCACCTCTGTTGTCGCTCTCGCCACCAACAAGTGCAGGGTATTTGCAGCAGTGCACTTCCCATTGTCGATGATGGACACGGCTGGTGCAAGCGGCCGAGATTACGGCGTCTTGGTTCTGATTAAGATAACGGAAGTGACATGTGGACAACGTTGACACGGGTGTTCAAGGGCGCGTCGGACGGCAACATGGCCCCATGGTTGACAATTAGACGCCGCCAAAGCACGGACTAAGGACTGTGCGAAGTAGACCAGCTCTTTGAAATGCAACAAGGCAGTGAATTCGCTCGTGCGCCATTGCGGGTGGCACATGCGAACACCCCGCGAGTGTGCGTTTGTTGTGGAGGCCTCAGGTCTGCTATTCCACCATATTCATTCACATGCCAGTGGCCGGAGCTACACGGCTCTGGAAAGCGGAGTGGGCACGGAATGAATACAGACAGGCGGCGGTGGCCCAACTGAGGGCCTTCGTTTTCCTGGGTGTGGTGCTCATGTTGATGCCCGCCGTGGGTTACTCTTTTCTCCTTTCTTTTTCAGCGTCAGCTCCAAGGAGACGCGCAGCTAGGAGAACGCTGTCTTCGGGCTACGAATCATCGGACGACGAAGTGCCACTTCGACGGAGCCTCGCAAAACGTCCCAGAACGGCCGAGGCAAAAAGGAAAGGAAGCCCTTCTTCCTCAATGGACAGCGACTTGGGCGCCATTGATGGCCATGAGCCAGTCGTGGACCTCACAACGCCCCCCAAGCGCAACCCCGGTCGGGCTGCAGGCCTGGCGGCGAGCCGCAAACTTCAAGAACAAGTCCAAGTGGAGAACGAGGAGAGCAGGTCTCAGGGGGAGGAGGACAGCGAACCTGAAGCCGGGGGAAGTGTTGGGGACGAGAGCAGCGACGAGCCGGTGGTGCAGCGGAGGAAAAGCGCCAACGGGCCATCTCAAGGCGGCGAGAAAGCTCGCGGCAGGAGAGGCGGGGCCGGGAAGCAGCAGCCGGGGCGGAAGCGCGGCCAACAGAAGAGAATCGTGGATCTGTTGGAGGACAGCGGAGACAAAGGCGAAGACGAAGACGACGACAACGACGAAGACGAACCCGCTGAGGAGGTGGTGGCCACCCAGTCGAACCCCGCGAAGCGCAACCCGGGGAGGGCGGCAAGCACAGCAGCGAAAAGGAAACTGGAGCAGATCGCAAGCCAAAGGGAAGAAGCACGCGCGAGCGATGGGGACGGATCGGAATCCGACGGTGAGAGCGAAGAGGAGGGGGGGGGTGACGACGATGGAGACGATTCTGACTACCAGGACGAAGATGAATGAGGCGCGGATTTTGCTAGCGGATGCTGCGGATGGCGTGCTCGCTCTAATAATTAGGCTATGTGAGACATCAAGGCAGGAGGTAGTCGTCTCTCCCTGATTCGTCGCAAGCAGGCGCCATTGCCTCTGCAACGCGAAATGTCCACCTCCTTCGTTGCTCTTGTGTCGGACTCCGATTATGGTTGCCACTCTTCCACACCGCTGATGATGAGCAGGAACCTGCGAGAGTGGGTGGCTTTGTTGACCGCCCATTGCGATGTGGCGACGGCAGCCTTATCGGCACAATGCACTGACCACAGGATGAGGGCGTGAACAGCCTCCACCTGTGACCACTGGCAACACAGCCAGCATCGGAGAATTATTCCAAAGCATGGCATCGCTTTGGCGCAGACTTCTCAGGCTCTGTTGCCCCGAACAAAGCTCCCTATCTTGTCCATTCCTCATCTAGACGTGGCCTGCCGGCGGACGTTCTATATCTGCGCATACGCCACAGTATCTGGCCTTGATATAGCTGGGCAGTTCCATTGATTGTCCAGGAAAGCCGACGGACACGGGACTCATTGATTGGCAAGGCAGGACGCTGGGTTGTTTTTGCACAGCCAATGCCCATCCATGCAGGAACGCTGGTCGTCTTGTTAGGACGCCTGGGGGTGTGGTTTGCACGAGACGCTCTTGCCATCCAGTGATTCCTCCGTCGCGCTGGCCCATCGTTGGCACAATTGTTGGCTGCAGAAGACAGGATGTCAAGGAGTCGTGCCGCTGGCTCGGCTCCCCACAAACGTCCGATGCCCTTCATTTCTGGACATGAAGTCATGAAGGCAGCCAAGGTCATTTTCGGGCTCAGGGTGTTTATCAGGGTGTTGGGCCCCTAGCACCCCTCATGACCTTCACGACCCCTTCATGACCCCATCCTACCTTCATATCCGAAATGACAGGTATCCGACAATCGCCGGCTCTCTGGAAAGGAAAAGGTCTTTTGCACCTTCAAGCCTTCATGGCTGGCAGCAAACCCGCCAGAAGGGCCGTCCTGCGTATAGCAAGACCGAACGGCTGTGGTGGGAAGTCAATTTGCTATTGCACAGAATGGGCAATGTACAGGGGCGCCCTGCCTGCGCAGACCCCAAGACATAAACAATGAACATCAACCAGCCCCGCCGCCCTTCCTCCGCCTTTGTCGCCTGCAGCCTTTCGCAACCAAATTCATGCCACACTGCAGTCGTGGCGCGAAAAGAAATCCCCCTGCCCCGACGTCGCCTGTACGGCGCCCTGACTCCCACACTCGCGAGCCGCTTCTTGACAGGCATCCTGCCTTTTGTGCCTTGCATTCGCAAGAAATCGCCGCGCTCCTGCTGCCATTCCGGACGTCGGCGGCACAATCGAGATGCCAAGAACGGTTCGCTGTTTGCGGTTGCGCACCAGCACCGCTCCCATCCGGGCGACGTCGTCGCTAATCCCCAACAGATTGATTCAGGAACCCGCCCAACAATGGGCCCTCCAGTCCTCTTACAAGCGCACGCCCACGCTCCCCTGGCGCCAGTTGCTTGGTCCGCAGCAGAGCCATCCTCCGCAATCCGCGCCCTGGTCCCTTATGCCCCATTCTGCATGCCGGTTTTCACAATCCGCAATGGAGCATCCACGAAATCCACTGGGCGAAGACCAACCCGCCACTTTGGAACGCGGCTTTGTGGGCCAAAGGCCTCCAGCGAGCTGCCAGCAGACAAGGGGACGCATTTGAGATGTCCCGCGTCACTTTCTCTCCGGCCTCCTGTCAGCGAGGATCGGCAGGGGCGGCCTGTCGACCAGCTGGACGTTCCTGGTCCCCCTGGGCCGGACGGCGACAAGCCTCGGTCCCAGCAGGTACGTAAGGGCGGCCCCGCCAAGCAGGCCTCCCAGATGGCCCCTGAAGCACAGAAACAGCGTCTCAGTCACGTGAGGCTGCCAAATCTTCCATTGGCGTGAGTACAGCTGGAGGCAGGGCATTGAATCCGAGCTGCGGTTTCGCTCCTTTGAATAGGACATGTAAATGTTACATGCAAGCTCGCATGCAGAATCTCGAGGCCGCGGCGTGACTGCTCGCCAACACGCCCCAGATCAGCCCACAAAGTCTCACTCACCAGTTGTCGATCCTCCTTATAATCAGGCCGTACATGAAATTGATGGCGGCGGTGTCGCTCAGCCTCTTCAGTAGAAAGTCAGCCCTTTCTCCCATCAACGCGCGGTGCCTGTAAGCGAACACTGCGAGGGATGCAGCGACTCCAAAAATCGCCCCTGCACAAGTGCTCACCTTTAGCTCTGGGGACATGCCAATCACGTCTTAAATCCCCAAAGCGGCGGGGCCCATCAGAGACATACGGCAAATCGCTCGCCTGCGCTCACCTATACTGTAAGGCTTTTAACCCCTTCCACATAGTAACGCAGCGCTTGGCCTTTTGTTGCAGAGTCAACAGTTAAATAAATAATGCTTCTTAATAAATCTCTTGCGGAGCAATGTAACAATAATAAGAATAACGCACTGAAAAACGAATGCAGAGCAAAAGGCGTAATGGTAAAACTTTACAATGCTGAAGGGTTTAGAAACCTGCAGTGATGCGACATCGCAATGAAAGAGCATTGTCGCCACGAGACCCCAGCCGCGCAGGGGACCGCGAGTTGTTCATGCTGCATGCATCAACTACGGCCCGAGAATTAACGCCGTCGACAATAACGATACGGTCCGAATCCTCCTGCTGCGTCGCTCCACATGCGTGTATCCATTCGACGTGGGTGGCCACGCACACCGACCAAAATGCCAACAAGGACACGACTTCTTTTCAAGGCTGTTGGGCAACTGCGAGACGCAGTACATCAGGACATTCCGCATTTGGCTTTTGGACACAGTTCAAGCACAGAAACAACATAGCGAAACGGACGATAATCTATTCCAGAGGGGGCAGTGAACACAAGGGGAGAATTCTGTCACCTGACGCCCCCACCGACATGTGCGGCGATAACGCCATGCTGGCCAGGTTCCCTGCAACCGCAGACCCCAGGTAGATGACGCTGAATCTGGCGCTCCCGCTCAACGCCTCCACCATAGGCCCGATCTGGTGCAGCGCGTTGCAATTGAACTGCAGAAATCAGAGCAACAAGAGGCATTCAGGTGCCAGCTGTGGTGACATGTGCAGTCTTCCCTTGAATGCAGCCTTGCTTCGTGTGTAGCAGCTGACCAAGCATGGAGCGGATGCATTTTGTGTGCGGGACGAGGCACAGCACGGGCAACGGGACCCAAGGACCAATGGACCAGGGACCAGAGACCAGGGACCAGAGACCAGGGACCAGGGACCAGGGACTCAGTAATGCCAGACCGTGTGCATGCACAATGGATGAGTAAGAACTCGTTCAACATTGCCACATGCACACATTGAAGATTGACAGAAATTTGCATGGGACACAAGGTGGACAATCACGAGAAGTACACCAAGTCATGAAATCATGGACCCCTAGTTCGATGGGGAAATCCAAACTGTCCTTGGCCACCAAGCCCAACGAGATTAAAGCTGAACTCACCGCAAAGATGCACCTCACATACGAATTGTGCATTTCTTATTGGATTGCGTTTGGCAAACACTGCCCTTGCGATTTCAAGGCAATGAAGCCACACTCTGCAGCAGCAACATAATCCTACAGCTACGTCCGCCAATTGCAGATGCAGCTTGACAAAATAATCCGGGCATTTGTGTTGTAGCTGGTCAAATGCATTGTGCACAGCTGGTACTCACAATCAAACATCGACAATGCTGCCTTGCAGGCGCTCCTGCACATTTTTCAAAAGTTTAAAACAGCATGCTCACCCCTAAATGAAGGATGTCTGCATGTAGAAAGGCTGCTGTCATTAGCCTCCACCACTCCCCTTGTGAGATAGCACTGTTTATCTGCGCAAATGGACAGAAATCTCCCCTAAGGATTGATAGATGAACACAATCACATTTGATGTGTTTGCGTCAGAGACCAAACAGCCCAAGCAAAGTGAAATCACAGCACTGAACAACATTTAACTGTACAAGCATGAAATGAATAGAATACAGTGTTCTGCTTCACTGCCACAAATATCACAGAACAATATAGACACTTGTGTAAGGCAAAGATGGGCAACATTGACCCATGGTGCTTGCAGCCAGGCAGCTGCCACCTCAGCACACATAAATGCACAGCGATCATGGTCTTGGATCCTTGGTTGCTTGATGCACACTAGGCACAGAGATATTTGCTATTCTCTCATTCTTTCAGCAACTGAATTTTCCGTGGATTTTAGGGTTCAGTGATGAAAACAAACCTGAGGCCAAACAAACAACTTGACCAATGACCTGAATTGGGTGCACTGTTCCATGGATTTCCGAAAAGGGGTCAGTTCAGTTCAGATCCACAGCATTCGGTTTCTCAGATTGTGGTTGAATGGCACACACAAAAAGTGCAACACACAGCAATAGCCAATTGTTATGATATTGCCTGTCTGAGCTCACCTTTGCACCCATAAGCAGCAGTTTCTGTCCAGAAACTGCCTGAAGCCCAAACAGCATCGCATTTATAACAATCAGGGAGTCTGTGACCCTTCGTTGGCTGTTGCCGAATGTGGTTATGGAGTTGGAGTTTGCAGAAGATCTGACACTGCAACCCAAACAGCAGCCAAAAGCCCTTTTCACCAGGATGCGTTCAAATTGATCCAAGGGACATTGGAACATGACCATACACTGCGATGTCCTGTAATAAACTTCAAAGGCTGTGCCATGGAGCAAGGAATCCAAGGAATCCACAAGGAATCCAGAGCTTTGCATTTGCATCTGGAACAGCAGGCGAATCCAAAATTGCCTTGGTGATTGTGCTTACTGTAGCAGCAGGTTCCTTGCGGCAATATTCAGAGCAACGGATTCGAACCATGTTCAGTGTGATGTGCCATATCTTCACTGGTGCCTCAGCAACAAGGGTGACTGAAACAATGCTTGGCACATGTTGATGGGGCCCGATGTGCGTCCATAGATTGCTAATTTGAAACCTTTGTGTTGCTCCATGCACACTTTGTGCAAGGAACTGCAGCTCAAATCGATTCAAGAACACACTGATGGAGACACCGGCACCTAACTTGGCTTCAAACACAATGACCATCTGTTGGACTTGCAATGATGCAGCGGCATCAACCAAATTGTATGCCAACTCCTACAACATGCTGAAAAGTTGAAGAAAAAGATTGGATTGCACACCGAGAGTATTGGCATCAAATAACACCAAGGCAGCCTGGTGTGGACTCTGGGAAACCCTGAAGCTTCTGAAGGGGAAGAGGGCTGGATATTGCAATGGCTCAGAGATTCACAAGGAAGCAGGACACTATTTCTGTCCAATGAGATCGCTCAACCATGCAAGATACATTCCAGCACCATCCAGCTGGAGACAACAGCCGGGCTAGCCATTTCTCCAGAGCACAGCCAGCAAAATCAGACCTAGGACGTCATGGCGGCCATTTCATGTCCGTCCTGGCCTGATCCATAAAGATCTCTGGCCGTGGCCCTGGCAGTCTCCATGTCCGGGTGAATGCGATGGTTTCGTCCGTTCCCAGCATAGTGACAACAAGGAGTCAATGCAATGGGGCTTGCCACACCTGTGTCAATTACCGATCGACAGCCTAAGGCGCCACAACGAAGCCCACCCAACAATCGCGCGTTGCAAACCCATCACCCGATTGTTTCCCGTCACATGACAGACATATTTGCAGCTGTTCCACAAATGTTTGAGAACAGGGCGTGCACAGCTTTGGCGCATCACCACAGGCAGGGACTCTTCCCCTCGTTCCCATTCTTTTGCCTGCGAACAAAGGCCGGCAACCTGGATTCCCAGATCCCGGAAGTCCGTTCCACCGTGCTGCTGCCGCGCCGCCTTCTTTTCCATTCTCGGGGCGACAAAGTCAATCCCAAGTTTTCGATTCAACTGATTCAGCCCGATCACCGCAATGGCAGAACACCTCCGAGCCGGCCTCCCACCCGCTCGCTAAATCGCCACCCCCTCCCGCACTTACGATGTGGAGGCGGATCGTCCGTACATGAGTGAAACCAACACTGGGACAAACAATGCAGACACCGTTCTTGTGCGTGTGGGTGGCGACATGCCCCTCGGTGGCTGACACTCAATTAATGAAATTTCATCATCATCATCCCGCACTCACGGCGCGCCCCGATTCGATCGCCCCGCCTTGGCCACCGACAGCGTCGCGACGCCGCAGCCTCCGGCCACCGCCAGGCGCTGCCACCTGACGCCATTGCCCCCTCCGGCCCGCCTGGTCGCGGCGAAGTGCGGCGGCGGGATCGCGCTGCAGGCCCGGCCGGCGAGGGACCTCGCGGGGGGCCCCCCGGGGTGGGGGCCGGTGGGGCCCATCAACGCTCTTCGGGGACCGCCGGCCTCAGGGGAGTGTTGGGGCCTCGGAGGATTGGAGGCGGGAGAAGCCGGGTTCGGCGCTGCGCTCCGCCCAATGAATCGGGGGAGGTCACGGCAGCCAGGGGGGCCGATTACGGCATCCAGTCAGCGCGGCAGTCAGGATGTGGCAACCTTGGCCAGGGGCCACATAGTCCCAGGAACATGTGCCGACGACATGCTCCTCCCTTGCGCATTGTAGCGTAACGTTTGGCCCTCATGTGCGAGGCAATACCAAAAACGGTGCGGTGCCAAGAAAATGCGGAGCAGCCCCAGCGGCGACGGAGGGCCTCAGGAGTGCTCGTGGCGTCCAGCGGGCTGGATACACGAGTCGCTGTGGCGGAGAACTGCGAGTGGAAAATTTTGGTGACATGGGGCCTGAGCGAAGTCGCCATTCCGGCTGTGGCCATGATGCGGCAGCCCCCAAATAACGGTCTGTCCACAAAATGCAGAGAAAAAATCGCAAAGCTGAAAGTTCAAAATGCGGAAGGGCTGAATGTACTATAGTATGTGTGGCCACATAACACGACACGTACATGTATCGTTGTGTTTTGCAGTTTCCAGCCCAGAGCCCAACGCAGCCCGAGCGAGCACAACTTGCATCACTGCGTTTTGCAGTTTCCAGCCCAGGGCCCAAGCGAGCCCAAATCCGTACCAGAATCATTCAATGATTGCCAATTAACACACTTTAGCGTTGTCTTCGTACATTTTTGTGCTCAGCATTCCTGTGTCTCTGGCCACTGCTCATATTCAGTTTGCTGTTGATTGGCCCCAACTGAGCCCATGGCAGCGCCCATGTGACCCCTGGTTGACACACAGGACGCGTGCCGACTCGTGCGACTTGCGAGTGGCAAGCATCAGATCTGATGCTGGACAGACTCTAAGTTCAGACACCTGCCCCTGCCTTATTTTCAATCTGTTAGGAAAATCGTCCAACGATCGCCAAAATTGCGTTCATTGAGACGTTCAAAGTGAACAACCAAGAGCCAAGGTGCTACTGACACGGAAACGCCCCAGATGTGGTTCGCAACAGCACATCTCAATAATAGATCGAGACACAATAATCATTTATTCAAGCATCCACGAGTTAAGCTTGGACATGGGCTACGCAAATACACGCAGGATTGATGTTTACATTTACAGCACCAAGCTGGGCTTAGGTTTTCATGCGGAAACAGAGGAGCAATCACTTTTTGCTGCCATATCTACGCACTTTACACGGCGCCCACAGGCTCGGGTTACATGATGCGGTGGCAAACACTGATCAGTTCAGCGTCCCCTAGACCACACGCAACGTAACTTCCATCCTGCCCTCTGTAAGGGCAAAGACGTCGTCGAACAAACGGTCGTCCTCTGCCCTCTCCAGCGCGTCTGGTTGCCACTCCCTGGATTCGCTGAGTCTGTAGGCACTGGATGTTTGCCCACAAGGCCTGTGTTTTACGCATTTTCACACGTTTTGCGAACGGAAACGAAAAATACTTTAAACGTGAATGCGCATTAATACGTCCTGTGTACGCCAAAATAAAAAGCCTGCAAAACGCGTGTGTATGCAAGCATAAGATCTTATCTCTAGAGACAGAATCGTGCGTACGCACGAAGCTTTGACACAATACTTCGAAGTATTGTAATTACATAAGTATATGTGTAAAGCAAAGGACGAAGTATTTGTTTTCCAAGGTCGCAAACAATTTCTTGCTGAGGGTGGCACCAGAGCCGGACTGTTATTTGCCTCATCGCGGCCCATCTGCTATCCATTTCGACGCCCATGATACCCACGGGAGAGGGGATCGCGCACAGCCCCATGCTAGCGCACCATGTCCACAACATGTTGGCCATGCTTCCCACCAGAATTGCGTTTAAGGACATAACCAAGAATGCAATAATCACCACAGCGGCGGACGCCAAAAAACGCCGGTTTCAGAGCAGCGAAAGCACTCTGTCACTCAGCAATACCCTGAGACGGTGTTTTCGCGCAGAAAACAGCATTGCAGTGGAATTGACCCTGTTGAGCATAAATACGTTGCCAATGTCCACGGACCCTAGGGCAGGGAATATCGCTACGTCGAGAAGAAACAAGGGGACAAGATTGGGAGCTTCATGCCAGGAATTATCCTTTTCTCTACATTCTCTTCTGCAATGCAGTCCCCCTTATGGAAAGAACCACAGATCGCCTTCATGCTATTTTCTAAAGACATATGAACACAAACAAACATGTATCACGGTGGCATCCTGGACGTCACATGTTCCACCCTACATCGCATGTGAGCATTGCTCACACATTCAAAGAAGGTATCTAGTTGGCAGTAGGGAAATCATTGAGCATGATCTCCTCGGACATTTTTGGGTCTTATTGCTGAATATTTGCCTTGATGAGTACATTGATTTAAGCATTCGCATGTTCACTAACACGCATCCTGCTCTGGACTCTAACTCTGGAGCACGGTCATTGCTCGTTGGCTCTCACTTCTGCAATTCCCCTACCCCCTCGAGGGTCGGGGAGCTGCCCTCGGCATTTTCGGGCCCGTGTTTTGCCCTTTTCTTTGGCTGATTTTGCTGCCAGTTTTGGGGACAGTTGAACACAAACGCGGACTGGATTGCATGGTGTTTTCTGGGAGCACTGCCCGACATCGCCAGATTGGTGACAGGGCTTGCTTTGCCACGATTTTGGCAAACGCAATTGCAACAGATTTTCGCTAACACGCATCCGCCGTTCAGTTACCATTGGCATCTTTCGCAGCAACAACGTGACAGGAGCAAATGCAGACACAAAGCGTCCCTGGTATCTCCACTCTTTAGGAGTTTCCACTATCTAAGTTTAGTCTTACCTGGCACCTAAAACACCATAACAAAGCAATTCATTCGCAACACAAAATGGTGAGCGCCACGCCAATGGAAATTCAAAGAGCTCGACATCTGCAACGTCTCAGACGCACAAAGCATCCAAATTTCGCGTTGCGCATATCTGCCGGGAAACAGCCAAGAATGGTCAACATAATTGTGCCCAAACTCCTTTCCTCAGCTGATCATTTTGCGACGGATCTCCGCGAGTTTGCGAGTATGAGTCGCGTATACCAACTGGGCGCAGCAGGTCGACATGATGCGCCCGCAGACACCTTCGTCTTTCCAGGTGCTGAGAGATTTTGACCGAATGATTCGGCTGAAAGGCTTTTCAGCCCTTGACTCCTTGACTGGACTTAAGCCTATTTACCCTCCTTCCCGAGAACACACCAGAGCCAGAGGTCAAACAATAATTACTAAAAGCAAAATTGCGAGGCGCAACAATCCCGTCTTTGAAGCAATGCAATGGGGAATTTCGGCACTTGCTTGCAGAATCATCTAGATAAATATTTGAAATGTCTGGTCTCAACAAGCAATTCACTGA